ACAACTGTAGAGCAGATAGAGCAGTGAGGGATTTGAAGATACCAAACTCAAAATTTCGAGTTATGCATGTCAAAAAAAAAGACTTTGTTCAGTGGCGGAAACAAGTTTCAGTACCCCTCTGATGCCAACAGTCACTTCTAAAAAGGAGACAGAATTGAACATGATTTATTGATATACAGATTTCAATCAATCTATTTGGCAGTTAAACTCCGACGGCCGAACACAGCAGAATGATAGGAGTTAGAGCAGGACCCAGTGGAGTCGAGATGCTGGTGGTGGAGATGAAGATGGAGGCTTGGATGGAGCCTGGGTAACAAGTAAGGTAAGGAGGAGATGGGGAGGAGGTGGGTTGCATGAAGGCATCTGCAAGGCAGAATGACAGATGCAGTGAGATAAAATAATTATATAATAATTGTTATCCAGCAAAAAAAAATAAAAAAATAGACGACTGACACTTGTCTCTTATATGTCTTCAAGTAAGCTCCTAGTTAATAATGTTAACTTATGAAAATAGTTCTTCAAAGGGAGCATTATGGGTCAGCATGTTGGACAAAATGATGACCCAGACCCAGTTATCCTGCTGACTGCTTGGGGTTTTCTTTCAAAATCTTCACATAGCTTTCTTCTTCACGATTCCTTGCACCTTGATGAGATTATGCTCCCTCTTCTCAGGAAAACAGAGGGAGAGAGAGAAAGGGAAGATATGCTGCAAAGGGCAACGGGTTGGAACCAAACCTAGGCCAGCTGCTCTCTGCAAGGCAGCATATGGTCACCCGCTCATCCCAGTGAGCTAAACCAGCAGCCAAGTGAAGTGCAACCTCACACTCCATTCCTCTGCAAGGTTGGAGTGATTGTTTTTATTGGAACTACATTTCCCAACTTGGCTAAGTCATTCACAAGTGTTTTGCCCATTGTTATGGTGTCTCTGGACACATCTCTAGGGAATTTTCTTTCCAGAATCTTTGAAATCTTTCCTACATCTGTCAAGCTTGTTCTGTACTGTGTGACTCTGAATTTCTCTTTGATGTGATAGAAAGCTAGTAATGATGTGCTGCCTCTCCCACTTCCAGATCCATTAAAGGGTCGGCTATCTGTGTGGCGTCCAGGCTGTCATTGAAGCTGTCAGCTGTGGGATCTCGCCTCTAATCCCCCTTAAAGACTGACTGGCAACACAAACAGCTGCTGACCTGATCTCCTCTGCCCTGTCCTGCTGCTGAAAATGTTCCAAACTGGAAAGCCAGAAAGGACAGACAGGGTTAGACATGCTGGAGTCCTCTTTCATTCTCCATTTTTATGTTTTTTACTTTATTTTTTTACTCACTAAACTCATTTTGTTCAAAAAGTAACATTATACCAGCCTGACAATAACCGCTTCAGCCTCTCCGTGTAGTTGTGGTGGATATTTTTTCTTCCATGACTATATCTTCTGTGCATGGCTCACATCTGTTCTTGTAAAAGCAAGCCTTTATCTCCCCACCTGCTATCAGGCGGAGAATGCTACTGATAGTGTGGACAGTACACAGGCTCTAACACAGTCCACCCAGTCTGCTCATGCAGTGGAAAGCAGCGGGGTCAGGCAAGGTAGCAAATAAAAGGTCTATTATTAATCTATCACACCGGCAGTTAATAAAGTGCACACATGCTTAATACATAAACAATGACAGGACAAA